GTTATTGTCTCTTTTGCTGTGCAGAAGCTCTTTAATTTGATGTAGTCCCAGCTGTTTATCTTTGCCTTCACTATCACTGCATTGGGTGATGTGTCTGTAAAGATGTCTTTGATGCGCATGTCATGTAGTGTTTCGCCTACATTTCCTTCTATGTATTTTATGGTTTCAGGTCTTATGTCTAGTTCTTTAATCCATTTTGAGTTGATTTTTGTGTATGGTGTGAGGTAGTGGTCAAGCTTCATTCTTTTGTATGTAGCGACCCAGTTTTCCCAGCACCATTTATTGAACAAACTTTCTTTGCTCCAATGCATAGTCTTTGCTCCTTTGTCAAAGATTAGTTGACCATAAATCTGTGGGTTTATTTCTGGATTTTCTATTCGATTCCATTGGTCTGTATGTCTGTTCTTGTTCCAATACCATGCAGTTTTGATGATTATGGCTTTGTAGTATAGTTTGAAGTCTGGAGTGTGACGCCTCCATTAAGGGTATGTTCCTTCTATCCCAAGAATTTTAAGGGCCTTCATCATAAATGGATGTTGGACTTTGTCAAATGCTTTCTCAGCATCTATTGATGTGATCATATGGTTTTTATTTTTGTTTTTGTTGATGTGTTGGATTACACTGATTGATTTTCATATGTTGAGCCATCCTTGTGCCCCTGGGATGAATCCCACTTGATTGTGGTGTATTATACCTTTGATGCCTTGTTGGATTCTGTTTGGCAAGGATTTTGTTGAGGATTTTTGCATCCTTGTTCATTAGGGAGATTGACCTTTAATTTTCTTTTTGTTGTGCTGTCTTTGTTTGGTTTTGGTATTAGTGTAATGTTGGCTTCCTAGAACATATTTGATAGTATTCCTTCTTTTTCAATTTTTTGAAAGAGTTTGAGTAGGATAGGCACTAATTCACTGCTGAACGTTTGGTAGAATTCATTTGTGAAGCTGTCGGGCCTGGGCTTTTGTTTTTGGGGAGTGCTTTGATTACTGCCTCAATTTCGCTGCTTGTAATTGGTTTAGTTGTTCTATTTCTTCTTTGTCCAGCTTTGGATGATTATATCGTTCTAGGAATTTGTCCATCTCTTTTAGGTTGTTGAATTTGTTTGCATATAAGTGTTCATAGTAGTCTCTGATTATTCTTTTGATTTCTACTGAATCTGTTGTGATTTCTCCTCTTTCATTTATAATCCTATTTATATGTGTTTTCTCCCTTTTTTCCTTAGTGAGCCTGGCTAGAGGTTTGTCTATTTTGTATGCATAAAAGAAAAAATAGGATTAATTATATAGGATTCGTTTATACCTGTGATTCCAGGCATTTAATGGGGATCTTGGAACAGATACCCTGTGGGTAATGAAACTATCATACATTTGTTAGCTCATTTAATTCTACAAGACTCACATGGGAATTATTTTTGCGTATTATGGTTCAAGAAAATGACTGAGAAATTAAGTGCTTTGCCCAAAGTTATCTGTATATCTATGATATATCAGTTTTGAAATTTAATGTTTTGAAAATTGAGATTAGAGTAGAATACCTAGATCTGATTGAATCCTCTCTGTTCTGATTGCTGGTAGAACAGCTCTTTAATCCTCTTAAAGAGTTTATGAATGTAGTTTCCACAGTATAAGTGTTAATACAGATCAGCCCTACAGACACCTCTCCCATTGCCTGTGATTATTTAGAGTGGAAATTTTAGGCCCACACACTATAGAAATCATAGTCTAGTTTTCGCTTATACCTTAAATAAGCAGTTCAATCAGAATAATGAGCAAAATTCTTTTAATCTTATATTTGTACCCAATATTGTAGAAAGTACATTCCTATGCACACCTTGAATGATATCTTGTGGACTGTATGGAATACCATCATTTCAAGAGTCAAATGGCTACCCTTGGGCATTTCTGGACACTGCATTAGTTTTTGAAATATATTTATTGTTTTTTTAATATACTTTTACATCATTTTTCATTTTTGCACAATGTATGCATTTTCATCTTGGTTATAGTCCCCATACAATTCCCAAATTCCCACCCCCTTGTTTTGATCCTACTCCCTTCTTCTCCCCCCTCCCCCTGCCCCCATAGTGCATTGTGTCTCTGGTTTATAGTTGCTTGTTGATTTTGATTTTTACTTTATTATAATTAGTCTTTTTTCTGGTCCCTTATTTAGGTTTTCAAAATTCCTGCTGTGAGAGAGACCATCCGGTATTTTTCTTTTTCTTTCTGGCTTATTTCACTGAATATGATCCCTTCCAGCTCCATCGGTGTTGCAGCAAATTGCATTAGTTTATGTTTCTTGATTGCTAAGTAATATTCCATTGTGTGTATGCATCGGGCTAGATGGGAGAAGTCTGCCGTGCCATATGTGGGTTAGCTCCTTGGCCGGGAATCGAACTCAGGCTGTAGTGGTGATAGTGCTGAAACTTACCCCTAGGCCACCAGGGACTCCCCTGGACACTACATTATTAATTGCCTTATATGCATTACTTTATTCTTTAGAACAAAACCTGCTAGATAGATTTTATTTACAGATAAGGAAATTGCATCTTTAAGAGATTAAGTATTTTATTATTCAGAATAACATGCCTACTAATTGTTGAGCTACAACTGTAAATAAGGCCTTGAATCCAAAACTGGAGCTTTAGCCACCATCTATCTGCATAAATACCTTTACTAAAGGAACTGTCATACATTTGTTAGCTCATTTAATTCTGCAAGACTCACATGGGAATTATTTTTGCAGTATTATGATTCAAGAAAATGACTGAGAAATTAAGTGCAAAGTTTGGTACTTTGAGTGTTCAGTTTAGTAGTATTTAGTGCTTTCACATTGTTGTACAACCTTCACCATCCATCCCCAGTATTTTTACATTTTCCCAATTGAAATAAACAGTTTTATGACTACAGACCAATAGGTCCTTTAAAATGTTGTTTTCTAAATATTCAACATCCCTTATCAGGGAAATGCAAATCAAAACCACACTGAGATACCACCTTACACCAGTAAGAATGGCACATATCAAAAAAACAAGCAACAACAAATGTTGGCTAGGATGCGGTGAAAAAGGAACTCTCCTACATTGCTGGTCGGAGTGCAAACTGGTCCAGCCACTGTGGAAAGCTGTCTGGAGGTTCCTCAATCTACTAAAAATGGAGCTACCATACGATCCAGCAATTCCACTACTTGGGATCTACCCAAAGACACAAAAACAGTGATTCAAAAGAGTGCATGTACACCTATGTTTATTGCAGCACTATTTACAATAGGTAAAACCTGGAAACAACCCAAATGCCCAAAAATAGATGACTGGATCAAGAAGATATGGTATATATACACAATGGAATATTACTCAGTGATCAAAAAAGATAAACTCATGCCATTCGCAGCAACATGGATGGAGCCAGAAGGAATTACGCTCAGTGAAATAAGCCAGAAGGAAAAAGAAAAATATCAGATGGTTTCACTTATAACAGGAATATAGGGGAACCAAATAGGACATCAGTTTTAAAAAATAATTATTACAGTACAAACCATAACAAAGCAAAAACAGACAATTGTAAACTAGAGACATACTGCAGGGGAGGAGGAGGGAGAGGGGTGAGAGGGAGGGAGTGAGGAGCACAGGGGACTGTGGTGATGGTGCATGGGTGCCTTGGGGAAGGAAATTCTATGGGGACTCAATCTGAGGGGGTTGGGAGAAGCAAACATTATCTAAAAAATGTAAAAAAAAATTGATAAAATAAAATTTTTAAAAATGTTTTCTGATGTTTAAAATTTAATATTTATAAAATGTATTATAAATGTTAAAATCTTAAATCATAAAAATCTAAAGTAAATCAGAGGAAATCTCATGTGTATATATTTTTTTTACATCGTTGTTTGTTTTTGTATAGTGTTTGATTTCTCCCCTCATGTGTAAGCCCCGTAAATTCCCACCCCCAAATCATCCATGAACCTCACCATAGTCTCTTGTGCTCAGGGGAAATCTTAATGTTACTCTTTTATTTGTATACCATAATAATAAATAATGATAAGTAACTGTAGGAGTCACTGATAATTTAAGGTACTTAGTTCATATGAACATTTTTTGAGCCCCTTAATAAATGGCATAGCATATTTACTAAATCTTTTCTGGTTAAACTACATTCACAATTGATCTCATTAGTTTACTCATATACACTGTATAACCTGAAGAGAGTATTTACTCAGTTGATGGGTAGATCCAGTGAAACTCTATATGTAGAAACCATGTTAATAGCTTCAGAGCCTGTATTGTATTACTTGTAATCTCTTGAGTTCTTTTTTCTTTGGGTTTGGATTTGTGGTTAGAAACATTTGGTGACCAAATTTCAACTCTGCAGACTAAAATGGATGATGTGTTTGGATATTGTGTTTTTCATTGATCTGTCATTTATTGAGCCCTTTTTACTATGAATGTTTAAATGTAAATTTTCTATTAATGATAGAAATTGAAATTCATGAATAGCAATTCATATTACATTTAAATTCTGGAAATGGTTGGCCAAAAATAGTTGGCCAGTGGAACCTTCAATGCAAAGGGACTGTTCTTTTTTTGTTTCTAGTTTTGTTTCTAGTTTCTATTTTTGGAGTGCCTTCTGTGTGCCAAGCGCTATCCTAGGCACGAGGGATATCATAATGGATATAGCATATTATTTGTGTTCTCTCAGGTGTATATTCTAGTTAACATATAGAATATAAAGTTTTTCAAAGATGTTTTAAAGATGTGTAAAACATACCTACTTTTGGGGGATTCTCGATGTAGCACTAGAATAAATGTACATAAATAAGTTAACGTGTGAACCATAAGTAGAATAGAGGAATGAACAAATGACTAAGAGGAAAATGGAATAAAACTGTAGAAATTATACAGTGCCTTGTTTAAATTGATTTTTCACTGTATGTGTAGGAGTGTGTGTGTATATGGTGTTTTTTTTAATTTCTGTATATATGACTTTTTTTCTAAAATGATTTTTTTGTTTTAGACCAACTGGTGGGAGTGACAAATGGACAGCTACAGCTTGTGACTGCCTTTCACTGTACCTAACTGGAGCTGTTGCAACTATAATCTTACAGGTGTGTAGTGGTGTAGTTACCTTAGATATGTACTGATTATTTCTGTAATCTCATTTGTTTATTTTTAAGAAAACAACAGTAAATTATTTGGATTTTTTGGCAGATATTTTTGGTCTTACTTCATCTATTTGGTAATAGTTGTCCCATAAATGATTGTATGAATCAGTTAAGGCATTCTTAAAGTATATTTAGATAAAGTATATTTTTTATTTCTTATATCATTGTTACTTTTGGGGCAGTATTTGATTTCTCCTATCAGGTGTGGTCACCCATAGCTCTCACCCCACTGTAGTCTCCACCACAGTCCCTTGTGCTCTTTCTTCCCTTGTTTTGACCCCTCTCTCAAGCCTTCCCCCAGTGTATTCCTCAGGTCTGTTGTCAGCTTGCAAGTTCTGCCTTTTACCAAACCCTTTGTTTGGTTTCTCAATATTCTACCTATAAGTAAACAATCCAATATTTGTCTTTTTCCTTCTGACTTATTTCTTTTAGCATAATCCCTTCGAGCTCCATCCATGTTGCTTCAAATGTCATGAGTATATTTTTGATCACCAAGTAGTATTCCATTGTGTATCCAGGTTGTTCTGGATACATTTAGGTTGTTTTCTTATCTTGGCTATTGTATAGTGCTGCAGTAAAAATAGGGGTGCAAGTTTTCTTCAAATTAGTATTTTTGTGTCCTTAAGCAAATTACTATGACTGGAATCTCTGGGTCATATGGTAGGTCCATTTTTAGTGTTTTGAGAAACGTCCACACAGCTTTCCCTATTGGCTGGACCAGTTTACAGACATACCAACAGTGGAAGGGGATTCCTTTTCACCATATCCTTTCAGGCATTTGTTATTTCTGGGTGTTTTTTGGTTTTTTTTTTTTTTTAATATGGGTCATTCTCACAGGTATGAGGTGATACCTCATTGTGGTTTTAATTTGCATTTCTCTGACAAGTGATGTTGCACATGTTTTCATAACTTGGCCATTTGCATTTCTTATTTTAAGGAGTGTCTTTGTAGGCCTTCTGCCTATTTTGAGTGGGTTGTTTGTTTTTGTTGAGTTTTATGAGCTCTTTGTAAATCTTTTATCTCAGTCCTTTATCAGATATATGGTGTACAAATATTTTCTCCCATTCAGTAAGGTGTTTCTTCATTTATACAGACACTTTTTGTTTGATGTAGTCCCGGGTGTTTCTCTTTTTTTTTTTTTTTTTTTAAAGATTTATTTATTTATTATTTTATTTATTTATTTATACAAGCACTGGGTATAGTCAGAAGTGCGGGAGGGTGAGAGAATTTACCAGAGCCAGAGCGGGAAGCAGAGCAGGCAGAAGGACCGAAGTACACTGCTGAGGGGAGCAGCGGGCAGCGGGAGTGGTCTGCGCGCCATGCGGGACCCTCCTCCGGTGGCCGGGAAGCAGCCGGGGATCGAACCGGCGCCGCAGAGGCTGCGGGCAGCTTCGCAACCCAGTGCTCAACCGCTGTGCCACCGGGGAGGCCCCCCAGGTGTTTCTCTTATCCTTTGCTTTTGTTGCTTCTGGATATTACTCCTCAAAGATGTTTCTGAAGTTTATGTCATAGATTGTTTTGTCTATGCATTCTTTATGTATTTTATGATTTCTATTCTTACATTCAAGTCTTTTATCCATTTTGAGTTGGTTTTTGCGTATGGTGTAGCTAGTAGTCAGTCTAGTTTCATTCTTTTGCCTGTGGCAGTTCAGTTTTCCCAGCACCATTTATTCAAGACATGATCCTGTTCCAGTGTATATTCTTGCTCCTTTGTCATAATTAGTAGACCATATATGTGTGGTTTTATTTCTGGGCTATCATTTCACTCCATTGGTCTGTGTGCATTGTTCCACTACCATGATGTTTTTATTATTATGGCTTTGTATTACAGTGTGAAGTTGGAAAGTATAATACCTCAATTCCTACCCTTTTAGTCAGGAGGGCTTTAGTTACTTGGGGATTTTTGAAATTTTTATTTAAGTTGCATGGAATCTGGAAATTGCTTTGGGTAGGATGGCCATTATGAGAATGTTGATTCTTCTGATTTGTGAGCAGGGAATGTCTTTCCATTTCTTTGAGTCATCTTCTATTTCAGTGTTTTGTAAGTTTCCTTGTGGAGATCTTTTACCTCCTTTTTAGGTTTATTTCCAGATATTTAATTTTTATATAAATTTTATTTATATATTCCCCATAAAATTGCAACCCCATTTTTTTGACACCAATCCCTTCCCTCCCTGCCCTCCACCCCCCATAGAGTGTCTCTGGTTCATAGTTTTTTGTTGATTTTGGTTTTCACTTTCTTATAGTTATTCATTTTCCTGGTCCCTTATATAAGTTTTCTAGATTCCTGCTAGGAGTGAAACCATCCGGTATTTTTCTTTTTCTTTCTGGCTTATTTTGCTGAGCATGATCCCTTCCAGCGCCATCCATGTTGCTGCAAATTGCATGTGTTTATATTTTTTTTGAGTGCTGAGTAGTATTCCATGGTGTATATGTACCACATCTTCTTGATCCAGTCATCTATTTTTGGGCATTTGGGTTGTTTCCAGAGCTTAGCTATTGTAAACAGTGCTGCTATAAACATAGGGGTGCAGGTGCTCTTTGGAATTGATGTTTCTATGTCCTTTGGGTAAATACCTGGGAGTGGAATGGCTCGATCATATGGAAGCTCTATGTTTAGTAGGTCCAGAAATCTCCACACAGCTCTCCAGTGGTTGGACCAGTTTGCACTCCCACCAACAGTACAGGAGAGTTCCTTTTTCTCCACATCCTCGCCAACATTTGTTGTTGCTAGTTTTTTTAATATGTGCCATTCTCACTGGTGTAGGATGGTATCTCATTGTAGTTTTGATTTGCATTTTCCTGATTACAAGTGTTGTTGAACTTTTTTCATATGCCTGTTGGCCATTTGCATTTCCTCTTCCGAGAAGTTTCTTTTTAGCTCTTCTGCCCATATTTTGACAGGATTATTTTCTTTGTTGTTGTTGAGTCTCATCAGCTCTTTGCAGATTTTTGTGATCAGTCCTTTATCATTAGTGTTGTGTGCAAAAATGTTCTCCCAGTTGGTGGGGTTTCTCTTTGTTTTTGTTATTGTCTCTTTTGCTGTGCAGAAGCTCTTTAATTTGATGTAGTCCCAGCTGTTTATCTTCACTATCACTGCATTGGGTGATGTGTCTGTAAAGATATCTTTGATGTGCATATCACGTAGTGTTTCGCCTATATTTCCTTCTATGTATTTTATGGTTTCAGGTCTTATGTCTAGTTCTTTAATCCATTTTGAGTTGATTTTTGTGTATGGTGTGAGATAGTGGTCAAGCTTCATTCTTTTGCATGTAGCGACCCAGTTTTCCCAGCACCATTTATTGAACAAACTTTCTTTGCTCCAATGCTTATTCTTTGCTCCTTTGTCAAACATTAGTTGACCATAAATCTGTGGGTTTATTTCTGGATTTTCTATTTGATTCCATTGGTCTGTGTGTCTGTTCTTGTTCCAATGCCATGCAGTTTTGATGATTATGGCTTTGTAGTATAGTCTGAAGTCTGGGAGTATGATGCCTCCAATCCCTTCTTTTTTTTTTCGGGAGAGCTTTGGCCATTTGGGGTTTTTTGTGATTCCATATGAATTTCATCAATAATTGTTCTATTTCTTTGAAGAATGACATTGAAATTTTTATTGGAATAGCACTGAATCTGTATATTGCTTTTGGTAGGATGGCCATTTTAATAATGTTTATTCTTCCAATCCATGAGCAGGGGAGGTCTTTCCATTTCTTTGTGTCTTCTTCTATTTCTTTTAATAGTGTTTTTTAGTTTTCTTTGTATAGGTCCTTTACATCTTTTGTTAGATTTATTCCCAAGTATTTGATTTTTTTTCTTTCGATAATAAAAGGGATGGTTTTTTGATTTCTTCTTCTTCAGATTTATTGTTTGTGTACAGGAAGGCTACTCACTTTAGCGTGTTGATTTTGTATCCTGCCACTTTACTGAACTGATTGATTAGTTTGATTAGTTTTCCTGTGGAGTTTTTGGGGTTCTCTATATATATTATCATATTGTCTGCAAACAGTGATAGTTTGACTTCTTCTTTTCCTATTTGGATTCCTTGCATGTCTTTCTCTTGTCTTATTGCTCTGGCTAGAACTTCCAGTATTATACTGAAAAACAGTGGTGAGAGTGGACATCCTTGTCTTGTTCCAGATCTTAATGGAAATGCTTTCTGCTTTTCGCCATTGAGAATGATACTGGCTGTTGGCTTGTCATATATGGCCTTTATGATGTTGAGGTATGTTCCTTGTATCCCAAGAATTTCAAGGGCTTTTATCATGAATGGGTGTTGCACTTTGTCGAAAGCTTTCTCAGCATCTATTGATATTATCATACGGTTTTTATATTTCTCTAGGTTGATGTGTTGGGTGACGTTGATTGATTTTCAGATGTTGAACCATCCTTGTGTCCCTGGCATGAGTCCTACTTGGTCGTGGTGAATTATCTTATGGATACATTGTTGGATTCTGATAGCTAAAATTTTATTGAGGATTTTTGCATCAGTGTTCATTAGGGAGATTGGCCTGTAGTTTTCCTTTTTTGTGTTGTCCTTGTTCGGTTTTGGTATTAGTGTAATGTTGGCTTCATAGAATGTGTTTGGTGTTATCCCTTCCTTCTCAATTTTTTGGAAGAGTTTGTGAAGGATAGGCACTAATTCGTCTCTGAATGTCCGGTAGAATTCATTTGTAAATCCATCAGGTCCTGGGCTTTTGTTTTTGGGGAGTTTTTGATTACCATTTCAATTTCGCTAATTGTAATTGGTCTGTTTAGGTGTTCTATTTCTTCTTTATCTAGCTTTGGGTGATTGTAGAATTGTCGGAATTTGTCCATCTCCTCTAGATTGTTGAACTTGTTTCCATATAACTGTTCATAGTAGTTACTGATTATTCTTTTGATTTCTGCTGTGTCCGTTGTGATTTCTCCTCTTTCATTTATGATCCTGTTTATTTGTGCTTTCT